GAGCAGAGGGCACCAGCGGATTTGATAGCTAAAGCTAGCGGCTAAAAGCTGACCTAAATCAAAAATAAGCTTAGTGTGGGTCAGACATGCACTCAAACACCACGCGGGGGTTCTTGTGGTCGGACGTGGAGACGAGGACCTTGTTGAACATCTGGGGGGAGCAGGACATCCAGACAGCGCTGGATGGGAGCTTTCGGAACAGTTTCGTTTATCGCGACGTAGCGTGTAGACTGGCGGCGATGGGTTTTGACAGGACCCCGGAGCAATGCAGGGTACGGATTAAAAGCCTCAAGAGGCAATTTTTACTGGCTAAAGAGGGCAACTTACGCAACAGTGGACAGTATCACAAAATCTGTAAATTCTATGACATTATGGAAGGCATCCTGAGCAATCGTCCAACTTCAAACCCACCAGACATGTTAGAATTTGGACCCGGAGAAGAGGAAGCTGGGGATGGGCTCGATGAAGAGGGAGAGGATGCTCAAGAATCTGAAAATACTGAGGACTCTCATTGTCCTCCTGAGACTCAAGTCAAGTTGGAGTATGGCAGCACACCAAGCCCTGTTCCTGTTAAAGTAATAGTGAACAGAAGTAGTAAGTCAAAAGAAAGTTTTCAATACACAGGTTAATATATGCTCTTGTGGCTCTGAGTTTAACATTAACACTTCTTATTTTAGGTGCCACTGTAAATCCTCAGTCTAGCAGTCATAGAGGAAACACTTTGCCTGCTCGAACACCCAAGCGACCCCGGAGACGCCGAACTAACTTTCCCCTGGAGAAACTTCTGGAACAGTTTCTGGAGCAGAGTGCCCAGGCAGAGGAGAACTTCTATCGAGTGGAGGAGCAGCGTTTAAAGGCAGAAGATTGCAGGAGAGAGGCTGAACATGGCCGAGAGATGCACATGTTCCAGATGTTGGGACAGATGTTTACCAGTATCTCCTCAACCAGACCATGTTCTTCTTCCACTCCTGCTACATGTACAGACAATCAGCCTAGTCATATCAGAGGCACTTCAACACAAGGGGAGTCTTTCAGGCCGCACAATCCAAACCAAGATTTACAGCATTTAGGAGGTATTTTATGTGCCATTCTGAAAGCCTTGAAGTGGAATTTGTTTTTATTTTATGTGAAGACGATAAAAGTAAGCTCATGAAAAATATGTAAGGAAGAAAAGGGAAAAAATACTACTTCTTATATTTTTATTGTGTTATTTCTAATACAGACTGCCCTCCTGCGAAAAGGGTGCTTGTGCATTGTTATATAATATAAATGAGATAAATATATATATATTTTTATCTATATTTCTTTTCAGCATTGTGACCACATGTTTGTACTGTATGTATACACCAAAGCTTAGTTGTTGCTTCAAACTAAAAATATTGTTTTGCTTGTTCTTTCCCAGTGTTTGAGCGTTTCTACAGTTTAAGCTCTAAATCCCACCACAGAATGGATGATGACATTCTTGCACTGGTTAAAAGAACAATCCCTCCACTAACATCCAAGAAGCATAAAGGACAAGATGGACGGATTGGAATCATCGGAGGATGCCAAGAGTATGTTACAAATAATATTTCCCTGTAATTGTTTTTAACTTTTTTTTTTTATACTGATGTATGTCATTTCAGGTACACTGGAGCACCTTATTTTGCTGCAATTTCTGCACTGAAAGCGGTAAGTCATTATATAGCCTAGATTTGGGGTTTATTAAGTTTTATATTGTTGATTGATTTGTTTCCAGGGGGCTGATTTGGCCCATGTGTTTTGCACTAAAGAGGCTGCACCAGTCATTAAATCATACAGCCCTGAATTGATTGTTCACCCAGTCTTGTAAGTAAAGATCTGACTGATTTTGTTTTTTTTATTTTTTTATTTTTGATTTATTTATCTATTTATATAATGTATGTTCACATTTGTGCTGTATGTTGATTCAGAGACCGTTCAAATGCCTTAGAAGAAATAGAAAAATGGCTTCCAAGGCTACACAGTGTTGTGGTGGGACCAGGCCTTGGGAGAGATGATCATATACTTCAAACAGCTAAGGTATGCAGTTTTAAAGAGTAGAAAATCCAAAATAAGGATTTAGAGACACATTTGCTTATTTATTTTTCATTTTTAGGAAATCATAATTAAGTCAAAAACTAGAGACATTCCTATCGTCATAGATGCAGTAGGTACCTTATTTTCTATGCATATGTTGTGGCTTAATGGGGATTTTCACATTTAACAAATATATTTTTGTTTCAACAGGATGGATTGTGGCTAATTACACAGCAGCCATCTATTATCCAAGGTTATCAGAAGAGCATCCTTACACCGAACATTATGGAGTTTACTAGACTGTACGATGTGTTGGTATGTTATCTAGCACAGCTAGTCAAAATATTTTAATGTTATGTTAGTAATTGTCTTTGCGAATATGCAGGTGCATGGATCTATGAACACCAGTGACCTCAAATTCAGTGTCACACAGTTAAGCATCGCAATGGGGAACCTCACTGTAGTGTTAAAAGGAGAACATGATCTGATTACAGATGGAAGCAAAGGTCTATATCAGCCATGAACATAAGGTGTGATGTAAAACTTTTAACAATAACAAGTCAATTTGTTCTTCAGTTATTTCCTGCAGCACTGAAGGAAGTGGCCGGCGTTGCGGTGGACAAGGTGATCTTCTTTCTGGATCTATGGGAGTGATGGCACATTGGGCCCATAGTGCTTCCGTTGCTGAAATCTTTAGAGGGTGAGATTGTTTTTGGTAATTTATCACAAAATTTATAACACAATAGTTATAAAATAAAGTTATATTTATTATGTTTTTTTCTTTATTTAGTATGAATCCATCAGTGGTTGCAGCATATGGGGCTTGTTCTCTTACCAGACAGTGCAACAATCAAGCATTTCAGAGAAATGGCAGATCTACCACTACATCAGATATGATTCAGGAGATCGGCTCTGCTTTCAAAAAGTTATTTGAAAGTTAAAAAGTAACGTAAATAAAGTTTGGGTTATTCTATTACTACAGAGGCAGTGTTCTCATTTATCTATTTTGTACATTTCTGTTTTATGGTTTCATTGATTCCTTAATGTTTCATTTTCATGTATTGTACACTCAACGTAAGCATACACAGTTGTAAAGGTGGTGTGATTATTCAGGTTGCCAGCTCAAACAAAATACACCTATAGCTCCAACAATACAGAAATACAGAACGCTAGAAATGCAATTATTGGACATATTCGCGGTATTGATTGTTTTCAAGTCACACATGATTAGACTAGAACATGATTTTGTTATATTTTATGATCCATCCATGTGGCTCCATCACAAACTGGAAACAGAACGGAGCCCGGACGCTACACACTGCGCATGCGTCGTGCTACTGAATGACGACACGTGACGCAGTGCTAGCAGCAACCTGAGTGAACTAGCACATCATCGACAGGGCTCACGACAACAACAAACACACGGTTTGTCCTCTAACTTTGATATATTCTACATTTGCTACACGCGGTTACTTGTGTCTTCACTTGCGAGCATTGTCTAACGCTTGTTTGGCGCATAACATAAGCTGAATTGGCTGACGTTATCTCGAGCTGTATGGGACAATGTTACACGTTAAATGTTTGCGCGCTTACGGTGTCAAAACTCTTGACGATTTTATGAGTTAGCTTAGCCATTATGTTACATATGTATATTCTGTAGAGCTTGTGATACGTTTCGTTACTATTTGATAATACTTGTGTTTGCAAATACACCAAGACTTGTTAACATTTCTATTCATTTTAACCAAACTAGCTTACATGAAACACCATCATTCATGTGCTATGTTTTACGGTTACATTTTACTATGTAACGTTATTTTAGCAGCATTCAGTACATGCAAGTTATGCATTTTGTCTTTGAGCTGATAACTAAATCTTTTCCGATTAACGTTACCCCTCTTGATCGCTAACTCTACCTGCTATCTCATAAAATTGTAATACTACGTTATTGTGTGTTCTGAGTTATGTTCTTATTCTGAAGAGTTAATTGGCTAGTAAAAGTATTTTCAGTCAAAATCTTTTTAGAATTACGTTGACGTAGGTTAAAAAACACACATTGAACTATGTCTCTCTCCAGTGTTGAACGCAGTGTTAAGCGGACATGTTAAACCCAACCAATGGCGAACCAGGCCATGTCGTCAAATACGTGGAGGAATATCTGGACCTGGTGGAGTCTCTGCCCTGTGATTTGCAGCGAAGTGTGTCCATCATGAAAGAAATTGACGCCAAATATCAGGGTATTTTATCTGACATATTTATTTGGAGACTCATTAGCTTCCACAAAGTGGTCACTTGTCTTTGGGGTCCATTCTGTTGAATTTAGGTTCTACTAATGGTGCTTAATATTATTAGGTGATTCCTTTAACACTTACATGTGCACTTTTCAGATGTCCTGATAGAGCTTGATGAAGCTTATGAAAAATATTGCCAAGAAACTGACTCTGTTCAAAGGCGAAAACTTCAAATATCAATTCAGCGGGCCCTGATCCGCAGTCAGGAGCTCGGAGATGAAAAGATTCAAATTGCTGGTCAAATGGTATGCTTCATGGTGTCTATAAAATTACTGCATCATGTACACCATTTTATAAGGGGAAATTATTTGTGCATTTTGCTGTACTCGTAGGTGGAGTTGGTGGAGAACCGAACACGACAGATGGATTGGCATTCTGAAGTACTCCTGTCCTCTCAAGAAGTTCCAGAAAGTCATGTGACAACAGCCACTTCACTGACCACTACTGCAGCCTCCCTCACATCATCAGCAGCAGCAGTAGCATCTATAACACCAGGCAAAACTGGTCATCATGAGAAAAAACGAGATGAGGTTACCCTAAGCTCCGGTGGTGCAGACAAGACAGGAGGAAAGCGCTCGAGGCGGCAGAAAAATGGAGAAAATCGTGAAAGTTATGGAGGTTTAGATCATTCTGAAGATGTGGGAGGAGGGGCATCACGAGAGAAAAGAGCAAAAGCATCATCTAAAAAGAAGAAAAGGTCTAAAGGAAAGTCCGAGCGTGAAGTATCTCCTCCAGATTTGCCAATTGATCCTGATGAGCCCACATACTGTCTGTGTGAACAGGTGTCCTACGGTGAGATGATTGGCTGTGATAATGATGAATGTCCCATTGAGTGGTTCCACTTCTCCTGTGTAGGGCTACATCACAAGCCTAAAGGCAAATGGTTCTGTCCCAAGTGCCGAGGAGACAATGAGAAGACAATGGACAAGGCCTTAGAAAGGGCTAAGAAGGAGAGGGCTTACAACAGGTAGCATGGCTATCTGTGCCTATGGACTCAGTAGTATTAATGTTGTACCTTTCCTATTTGTATTTACTGTTAATGCTGTTTGCGCAGCCAGTAGAATGCCCTTGTAAAATTATTTTTGCAAATGAAAAGTTTGACCAGAGTACCCCTTTCTCTAAAACCTGCATGCATCAACTCCTGCACTTACATTGTTTCCATCATGCAATTAATGCAAGTTATACATTAAAGGTATTTTCAGACTCTGAGCATATAGACTCTTTCATGGCAAACAATCCACCTTAAACTATTTTAACATGTCATGAAGAAACTGCTTTTTTTATTTACAAGTACTGAAAATGGTATGAGAACAACCAGTGCAAAATCTGTACATAAAGTTTTAGTTGTGATTCTTATTTACACAAGTACTGAACAAAATTATGACACACTTTTCATGCATGTAACAGAGTTCACAACACAGCAAAGACAATGTGAAGTTGTCCAATATAATTTTCCCCAGTGAGGTTTGGGCTACTTGAATGCCTTCCCTATATACCACTAAGAAACCCTGAAAACTGCTGTGTAAAAATATACACTAACAGAGCAGTTGGGCACAGCAATATGAGCCCATGACATGGCCCTCAAAGATTCAACATAATTAATCCAGAAGTGATTTAAACTGGGTGAAATACATTAGAAAGCAAGGCAATGTCCCTTTAGTCCATACTGACAAAAAAAAACAAGGCAAGATTCAGAACAGTTCTCCTGATGGACTTCAACGGTAAAAAAAAAAAGATTATTCCTGGCAGTCAACTAAAAAAGACTTTATATGAGGGTGGAAATTGGAGGTAAAGTGCATAAAAGCTTGAAATAAAAATGTGTGGTTGGGGGACTAGGGCAAATATAAGAGGTACTTGACTAAAAATTGCAGCGCACACAATGGAAACAGCTACGGTGATTGTCAGGTCAACTGTCCCTCCAGCTTTGCTCGACAATGGCAGACACACGTTTCTCATACTCCCGCTTGTTCTCCTGATAAAGCTGAGCAGCCTGACTGTTGGCTGGACTGTTGGGATTTGGTTCATCGAGCAGAGACTGTAGGGGGGGAAAAAAAAGTATACTCAATATATTTATGTAATATATTTTACACATCAGTCATTCAGTTTGATTAAATATTGAAATGAATTATTTGACTGATTCCATCAACCAAGAGCATTTTTTTATTCCCTCGAGCACCACCTCTCCCCTCCCTGGACATAGGGATGCTGTTTCATGAGCAGTACTCATTGGCCAACAGAGGCACACAAAAACAAAGGTGAAAACAAAGATGAATTACTACATCTGCTGCCTGCTGTCAGAACACTACAGCAGCACATAACGAAATAATGTAATACTCAGGATTTACTTATGTGTCATAAAATAAAATTATTGTAGTCATCAATTAATAACACCAAACACTAATTATAACTTGAGCGCCTTGTAATTGACAGCCATAGCAGTGGTTTGTTTTTACCTGAATGGATGTTAGGATTGAAGACACATCATAAGTTGGACTCCAGCGATTTTGCAAAATGTCCAAACATATACTTCCATCTGCATAGACTGGGAGGACAGTATATATTGTTGAAAATATTCACCATTTTCAATTCAAGAGTTCAATTTAAAAAAAAAAAAAAAAAAAGAAGAAGAAAATGCTCCTTACCATTTGGATGAAACATCTTCGACACAAATCGTACTGTGGGTGGTTTATTGGGATATTCTTCTGTGAACTCTACAATGAGTTTAAATGTACCTGAAAGCATAGCATTAACAACATTAATTGTTTTTACAAAATATGCATCAAATTTATGTAGTATATATTTCTCACCATCTTCAAACGGCGTCCCCTCGGGCCTAAAACATCAATCAGATTATGTGATATGATGACAGGTGGCTTTGCAGAAATATGAATTAAATTTCACTAACTCACCCAAAAATGACAGCATTCCACACCATAATGTTGTTTTCTGATGGCGCACCACTCACACCAGCTGGAGGGTCCTCTTGTAGCCTATACACCAAATGTTTGAATTGTGAAACCAAATGTAAAATACCCCAACTACAACTACTTGAACATTCAAAAGAAACGGGTCCGTTGAGTAATATGAGTAATAAAGTAATATGATCCCATCTTCCAAGCACATTTCAAGTGTTTTGCTAAGTAAATAGAAATGTACGCACAACTATGGCTTTATTATAAACTCATGTGGGGAAAAAAATATATATATTTCAGTCTCACCTAACAGCACCTATTTTATGTGACGTAGACGAGCTGCTAACATGCAGTGGCTCAACTAATCAAACTGTAAATGAACACGGCCACCGATAAACAATAAACGCTATATTAAGTAGTTCCACTTAAAAATGTAATAAGAATATACATTTTTAACCAATTTAAAGTGTATTTGTATTTTAATACAATATGATGACAAATTATATGATGCTATGCTAATGTTAGCAAAATGTAGGAAGCTAATGTCACAGTCGATTTTGACAACTCACCTTTTGAAATCTCTCATAAGTCTTCTTCTAGCCGGTGTAGACATGACTCTTTAATGTGCTAGCCGTATCAAGACCAGGTTTAGTATACAGGTCTTTTTTTTTATTAAAATGTTTGCCTTATTTACGAGGAGGTTACTTGACACCACCCGCTCCCCTTTAGCTCCCGGTCGGCTCCGTTAATCCCAGCACTCAGGTTAGCCCAGTTTGGTTTACAGAGACGTACCACTTCATGCTCAGGGGAGCTCTTTTGCTAATACAACCAATTATGTACAGTTATGTAAACCTTACCAAGTTACGCACGATATACATAAACATAATAAATGACAATGGTCTAAGCCAGGTCTGGTCTAAGGTTAGGAATTGTTTCTAAATAACATTAATAAGATTAAAGTCTTTTAATCCCCCCCTTTGTCGTGATGGACGCGCTCGTCCGTGGGCGTGACTAGAGTGACGTGATGTTTGTGCAGAGTGAAGGTCGGGCTGAAGACAGGTGACCTGCAGCACACTGTACTACTGTACCAATGTACAGCCGTTGCCGAACACGTGAGGACAGGATGGGGTAGCCCCATAGCCCCATTTACAAAGTTTTATAGAGTGACTTTAATGCCTGCAAAAGATAAAGGGTAGCCCATGCTGTAATCACAAAACTAATAACCATGTTTAAGCACTTTTATTAAATAAAATCACAATTACTTAACAGAAATTCACAACTAGTTGTATCAAGACAAAACATAGGAGACTAATGACTGAGCCCCATTGCACATTTGTCTAGTGTTAGATGGAATTTTTAACAGAATCAAAATCACTGTATTTCTTCTTTAAACAATAATGCCCTATTGAATAATACTGGTCAACTAATCAAATTGAAGGCCAATTGTCTTTATGCTTAGGCATATGATACTGTGTATTAGGCAGAAACGTGGTACCACTCTGAATTCCGATTTTAAGATCCATGATAAAGAAGCATGGTGTTGTAAAATGCATGGTCGTACAGTTGCTCTGCAGTCACGGACTTCTGGTGCTCCACCTGGCTGCCTGCTGTACCGTGGATCTCAAGCAAATCACTGTGAGCATGTCTGATTTCTGCTGCCGGGCCGCACCCAAGCAGGGGCTGAGGTTGGCTGTGACCATTTGGGGTAAAGAGCCTTTCATCTGTCACTGCAAACAACAAATATATAATATTATTAAGTCTTCCTTTCCCTGAAAAAAATATACCAAGTTTATAAAATATATGCATTTTGCGTTTTTAAGTTATTACTAAATATTACAATGTTTAAAACACAATATTAACATTTATAACTACACATTGTGAAATGCATTCCACAGCCTTATATTCTAGTACAAGTTCAAGACCTTATTGGAAATATAAGATCTCCAAATAAGGCTCTGACCTGACACAGTGACCTAGTTTTTTGCAGAAGTATTTCAGCATTTGTGAGCTGTGGGCATAAGGGTGAAACACAGTACAGTAAGAATCTAGTAAGTGAAGATTAAATAGTGAACAAAAACATACAAAAAAGTCCACCACAATCATAAGTCTGTTAAATGTTTTGTATTTAATTAAGAATTGTATCCATAGCAAAACAGAATATTCTCATTGTTAAGTGCTAGAAAATGCATCTCAAATGTGAAACTTAATACTTTTACAAAAAAAATAAAACAAAAAACAGTACATGCCACAACACAGAAAATGATTTCAAAAGTCAAAAAGTAGATAAAATGAAGTAAAAACAGTTGCACTGTTGCTTATCAACACTGTTTATCTCAAAGTAATAAGTAAGGCTTATTTAAATGTGTACAAATTCATGCAGGGCCTTATTTATATCAAAGTACTAAAGTCTAACAGCTACTCATTCAATGAGCGCGTCACACCAAAGTGCTGGTTTAAAACACAAAAATCCCTTTCTAACTGAACAAAACTACCAACAAATAAGTTACACAAACAAATAACAACCTTTAACAAGACTCAAGTATTTTGAGCAACTCAAACTTTAAGAAGTTATTTAATGAAAATGCAATAAAGTGGTCAATTCTTTAGATTAAACCGGTTACTTTCATTTTAGGATATGTTTTGGATTTAATATACTGTTATTAAGTAACTAAATAAATCCATATGTTGTACATATGGAGGAGTTCACAAATATTTTGACAAATACTGACATTTGTAAAATGACTGCAGAATTTGACATTATCAATGTTTGGTGTGATAAAATTGCAATAATAAAAAGGGAATTATTCTTCAAAGTGATTCTTTTACAAATTCAAACACATATGCAAGACTAGTGTATAGCACAGTACTTAAGCTGAAGTCAGATAAGTATATGCACTTACATTAAGTACACACCTTTACATTTATCAATGTATACTCCCACCACCCCCAAAACAACAGGTTTGCATATTACGCATAAACACAGCCCAGCCACACTAAATGTAACCTGGAGACCAACAAAGTACAAAGCCCTCTACAGGTAAGCATATGAATTGGTGTAGTGGCAGTGAGTCTGCATCGATGCCACTGTAATCACTTCCAGCTCTTTGGCTGGTTGGCTTGCAGCGTCTTGTCTTGGAGCTGCATACCCGTTTAACTCTAATGCAAAGGATCCTGGCCCACCTGAGCTTGTAGCAAAGGACAACTCCATGTTTGTGCTTTCCATTTGAACATCTTGAGCACCTCCCAGTGGCCCATTCCCGTTTAGATAAACTGGGGCCATGTCCAGACCTAAAAAACAAGTATTGACAAACCTTTATAAACAGCACTTGCAAGTTTTGTGTTCATGTTGAATTCAATAATCGGCCTACCAATGGGTCTAGCCTTTTTCACTGGGTTTAGTTCAATGCCTTCAAATGACCTCTTTCTGTTTGGAGTGCCATTCAAGAAACTGCGTCCCTGGACCGAGGGGTGAGAGTGGCCCCCATTCTGGGCTGTGCCGTTCACAAAAGGCCTGTTTTGGGATTGGGCCATGTTTTGTTGGAAGTTCTGGGCATTGGACAGAATCTCTGCACACTCCTGGAATCCTTGTGCGTGGGCCAGGTCGGCAGCAGTCAGCGCACTGGCATTCCTCAAACTGCACAAAAAGAACAAGTGTCACCAACACACACCTGCAGAAGGAGTCACACACAAACACACACGCGCGCACACACATACACACACATATACACATTTACATACACACAAAGGCCACGCACTCTCTCTCACACACATACACACACACTCTCCCTCTACTACACTCCTGCATAGACAGACACACACACATATATGCAAACAGTATGTACAGACACAACCTGATCTGAACTATCCTGACACCCTCTACGTCATCTTGGAGGAAATGACGTGTGATCACTTTGGATCATTTGAATTTGAAATAAATAGTCCCAAAACAGGAAACTGCAAAACATGGCATGGTTAAGCCAACTTTGGTGTTTAAAAAAAATACAAAAAAATACAAAAAAAAAGTTTTGCGTTGAAGTCAAAGACTTTGCAGAGGTAAGATGACATAAGATCCAAGTATGTCGCCTGGAGTTAGAACGACGAATTAAAAAAGTACTTGTGATGTCAGTTAACAGTGCCAAAAATATTTAGAAACATTATTATAATGTAAAAATGTCACGTAGCAATTCTTTTAAAAATAAAAGTAAAAATATAAAAATAGACAACATTCTTCAGGGGTATGTGTAGAGGGTGGTCTCCGGTCAACACTCCACAAGAAAGCAAAGAAAATTTGAAAATATCTTCAAGATCAAGAAATCCATGGGTCTTCATACAAAAACAATAAAGAAAGTTGAAATGGTGAGAAATAAGAAAAAAAGACTTCATTGCTCTTCAAAATGTAAACATTTTCTTGTGATATAACAGTTGTGTTAACCATGCCATGGTGCAGCAAATCTAAAGTGATTTGAAGTGACAAAATGAATGCACAAACAGTATGGTGTAACCACACAAGCACTGTACCCTATTAAAGCTTTGTCCTCTGTGAGGGGCAAACGCAGACCCCATTAACACACAAGCTAGTGCACTGAACTAACTTTAAGATAACCAGCATTAAAGCCAGTAGGTGTGCAGATTTGTTTAACAGAGATGCTATCCTGATTCATTTAAGCATGACACAATAGTTTACTTATATTGCACCATAAAGGAGCAACAATGAGAGTTTCTATAATTACAACTATACTGAATGAAAAATTTCAAATTTGTTTAGGTTTACAGTAACATGTACAGTCATGTAGTGACAAGTTTACTGTTTGGTCAGTCATTGTGTAAAAGGTGATCTATCTACATTTGAACTAAATTTGTGGAGAAAAAAAATACATTTCAAGAACTAGTGCACAATGAACATTTCATAAACAATCAAAAGATTCAAAAATCATAAAAGTAAAATCACACAACTTGTTGCACATCGTACCCTTCAAATTAACGCTTCCAATTTTTCTCATAAGTTTATAAAATTATAAAATGGTCTCACTAAGGAATATACAAACATTAAATTTACACATTTTGCTATGAAGCTGCTAAACTCAGTCCAGGTGAGTAATAACTATTAGGTTATTCTTTTATTATTTATTCTCTCTGGTTAAAATAAGTAACATTTATGGGTGCATTACTGTATGTTAAGAACTCGACTGAACCCCCTCAAAAATGAGATGGAACATCTCAAGGGGCATTCTAATAAAACATTTTTAATTACTAGTGGCCCAGGCAGAGACGAGAGATGGAACTAGTTCATTAGTATTACTGTACTGATCTTAACAAACATCTCCCATGTGAAAATAATTTTAAAAGTTTCTATTCTAAACTTGACATACTAAATTAAAGTGAATAATGCATTTATTCTAAATACTATTCTATTGTATTTATTCTTAATAGTTGCCCATGTACAGTCAATGTTCAGTGGTCAGTGCACAATATTTACAAAGTGCTGACAACTCTAGTTAAAATTAACCAGGAGTTTATAGTTTACAAATAATTAAACATAGATTGCCTATACTTCAGCCATTCCTTTTGGTGAGACCATCATTTGAAAAATCAAATATCAAATTAATAAAACAAAGGAAGCGTTAATTCTTTATAAATGCCTGGTATGCTTTGCTTTTCCCGTCCTAAGCACAGATTATATCTTCTCTATCTACTGTCTAACTTTCAAGAGGCAACCTACAATCATGCTACATGTTGACATGTGACTCACGTGATTAAACCTGTCCTTTTA